GTAGTCTGGAAAGGTTAACACATCATACCACAATACACAGGTACAAAAATATGTTTATGCAAAGGCACTTGCTCATTTAATTCTATATAAACAAAACAAAAACCAACAAAAAACCCCAACCAAACATGTGTCTCAAATTCACAATATTGAAGTTACATATTTTTTGGAACTGTCACTAAATCTTTTTTTAAAAATGGGAGAAGGCTCCGGCCAAAGTTTCAAGATGAGCATAAATTATGCACAAAGACAAAATTTTGTTGCAAATATTTACTTAAAAAGTAATAATTTACAGCAGTGCTTTAACAGCTGTTCAAAACATTTAGCATCCATAGAAACAAAACTGTAAGTCAAAAGCACATTCTGAATGCTTCCAATGGAGCAATGAAATCCTAAGAGCAAGCTACCGTTAATCATATGCATTCCTATATCTGCTGTTAACTAGAAGACAAAAAAAAAATATCCAAAACCAAAGGAAAAAAACAAAACAAAAAAATCCCCAAAACCCAAAACCAGCAGCCATCTTTCTGTACATAACTTAAGACTACAAAAAGTCCTGAAATTGAACTGTACAATTTGACCTTGTGTTCTATTTGTAAGTTAGCCAGTAGCAGCTGTAAAATGGCAGAACACACACCAAGTGGTGTCTCCAGTTTGGGGGTTTCCTTATTTTTGCTTAATACCATTTTTACATTAAAACCATACTTTGGTGTGACTTACAGACCATTCCTACGTGTCTATGGCTAAGAATCAGAAAACCAATGGTAAAAGCCTAACAGCTACAGTACTTTCAACATTATGTTCTACTTTATACAACTATGTTCGGTATTTCTGCACAGCCTGCACAGTGAAAACCCCACAAATATATAGTTTTATTGTAATAATTCCACTTTCACTGAAAGTTTATTAAGGTAAGCTTACAGCCTGGCAGGATTATACCTGTACAGAGGTGCACAGATTCATATAATTCTGTTTACATGCTTTTACAGACAGGAATGTGACACCGAGTCCCAAGGTTTATGTTTACCCAAATTATCAGCAGACCAATAGCCCTGATGACAAGTGCGCTCCACTTCAGCATCAGAAGTAAGTCCATACTCAATTCTACTGTTCAATGATATTCACACTGAAGAATTTAAAAAAATACTTTCTGGGCGAACAAATCACCTTATCCTGGGCTAGTTAACTATAAAAAAATTAGAATTTATACCTCTTTTCAAATATCAATCTAATAATATATCACATCCAAGAGACAGGAAGGTATATTTGAACTTGCTACCTTCTGTAAGTTCAGTTAATCACACATACACATACATGCTATCTCCATATGCAGAACTTCCCTTTGGTGTCTCTTTCTCTCCTCCCTCTCCCCCCCCGCCCTTTTTTTAATATTTAGCATCCATAAGCACACTCATCAGGAATGGTCCATGGTGTTCCTACCACTGTTCATAACAATCAAATTGACACAATTTCAGCTTGCTTCATTTTCCTCTGTCTGGTTTACAGCTGTCTCCATTCTGTTGGGATTGCTTTCCTTCGAAACCTCATCTGTTTGTTCCGTGAGCTGTCCGGCTGTCTTTGATGAAGGTGTGACATTACCTTTCTGAAGGATCTCAGTAGCTTCATGCTCTAGTACTTCTGATGGAGTCAAAGGCTCCAAATGAATACTGCCTTGTTCACTAATGTCAGAACTAACAGACTCAGGTTCATCTCTCTTCCTGAAGAACTGCTCAAAACTCACATCCTCACCCAAGGTCAGCTTTAAGTCCCTCACGTTCATCGCTGACAGTGTAGTTTCATCCAAGCTCCGGACTTTAGTCTGCTCATCCAAGAGACCATCACCTGAACTTTGGCACCTTTTCAACTCACTTTCATCATGAATACCTTTTTGTTTCTCATCTAACTGTTTGTTATTATCATCTGAACCACAACAGGCTCTTTTCTCATGCAAAGACTTCTTTGAGCTGTTGCCAGGGAGTTCAAAACTAGGAACATCTTCTGTATTTGACAGTGATGAGTCTTCTTCGTTCTGTTCAGCAGATGCAACTTTTGTAGTTGGATTTCTACTGCAGTTTTTTGTTTCATCTGAAGAGTCGTGCTCTTGTTTGCTGAAAAAAAAAACAAATCAAACAAGTTACTTTTATAACAAACAAAATAATACATGGTTGTACCCTGCAAAGTGATAAAAGAGTGGTGTTGAAGATTTCCTATTTGGCTGTTGAGATATCCTTCAGTGGTGAAATCTTACTGCTCACTGAGGTAGTCATCAGAATATTTTCATTCTGTTACACTGATTTTTCACTCAAAATCTAAATGAACGATAGGCCAACCTCTTTACCAAATTACAACCTATATTTGCTACTTCAGTCAAACAGAAATGTTAGGGTTTTTTTTTCCATTTAGTGGACCAGCTAAAGAGTATATGACATTCTCAAATACACAAACAATTTATCTAAGTTCTTCTCTCTCAGATTTCTAGAAAAAAAGGGGGGAAAAGGTATTATTTGAGGGAAAACTCAAGACTAAGTTCCACCTCAAAAGCCAACACTCAGAAGCCCCCATGAGCTGTGACTGACATATCTGGTCATGCCATAACTGTTCCTAATGACCTCAGCTATTCCAGAGAAAGACCTCAGCCATACAGAGCCCTATAAATACTAGTTAAAAATTGAGAATTGTTTTCACATGAAAATCCAGTCAAATCCTTCAGGAAGAGTGTATACACACATCACCTTTAGCTACTATTTTTCAACAAGCAGCTTGAAGGGCGACATACAGTTTGCAGAGCAAATGGGCAGTGTTGTGCTTTATGTGGGAAGGTTTGAACACAGATATGCAAAGAAAAAAAAAGTTTTAAATAAAGGGATGGCTAATGCCTCATTATCACACAAAGAGCAGTGTTCCACACTGGAAACCCAGATGGATCACATATATGTGTACACACACACACACACACAAGATTCACACCAAGAAAGCCCTCCAAGCACAAATCTGCCCTTAGCATATAAAACAAATTGATCACCATCTTCCTCACCTTCTATAACCAAAAATCCCAGCTTCATCCAAGAAGTGGTGGGGAAGGAAAAAAGAAAAATATCTTGTGCAGAAGATACCTTCCTGTGAGTCACTTATACTAATGAAGGAGTACAAAAATAAAACAAACTTTTGCACAAACACATCACAATTACCCACAAACAACAGTGATTGCTGAGCACAACAGTCAGTTCCTTTAGAAAGAACAATTCTCCAGAGAAATAATTCACCTCTGCTGAGAACTGCAGATGAATAAGCAAAGCCTAGTGAGTGTGATGCACTAAAATGCCACAATAAAAAGAAAAATCATAAGTATTTCAAGAATTCATTCTCTTAGTACATCAGTAGCTGAAAAAGAAAAGCCTTCTATCCAGTATTAGGAATGAGAAGTATTCTTACTACCCTATGTGGCAAATAGCCATTGTTACAGTGTAAGAAACCTAAAAATTCAGACATCAAAAACACTGGAAAATGCGAGAATTTGAACAACTGTATTATACAGAAAGGGGGATGTCAGTGAATGGTTAGAATTGTACAGAAAATGCAAGATTTAGGTGCCAAGTGAAGCTGAGGAAAGTGAGGTTCTGATCATTTGTTGTTTTAAAATCCTACTAGCTCAAGTTTTTTGGCTGCACTTTATTTAGAGTGTCCTATTATTTTACACTGCCATTTTATCTTAGGATTTCAAAAATAATTCAGAGGAAAATTCTACAGCAAGAAAGAAGTGTCACTACAAACAAGTGACACACACCTTCATACAGAGTAGTTGCAAAGTGTGTGCAAACACCCCTTCCCTCAGGTTGTGGAAAGTATTTCTCCAAGTAACAAAACCTGTATTACAGCTGCATTTACATCCTATATTTACATTAACAGTTCGGTGTGAAACAACACCACGGTTTTGAGACACATTCCTCAGTTGTTCCCACATAACTAGTCTGATCTACAAACCAGTACCAGGGCATGCAAATTACACCACTTTTTAAGGAAAATGAACTGGAAGCTCCGATCCACAAGTGCTCCAGCTCCTAATGGAGTTGAGCCCTCAAGAGTCCAAATCAACACGGGACAACTCCACACAGCTCTGAACACGAGCACAGCGTGAGCTTTCTGTCCAGGGAACACCACTCTGCTCTAAAATAACACCTCTGAACCGCTTTACAGTGAAGATGCACCATTTTCAGCTTTCAGCTGAGCTACAGGATCTGCTCCTGGAGCACTAATTACTGGCCAATATCAACATAACTACCTTGGGCACATCCTCTGAACACCATGACCCAGTAGTACAGGCACAGTTAAAAAAGAACTGTCCTGCATCTTCCCACTAGTTACAAAGCTCAGACTTTGTCAGACTGTGTGTGGAGAAAAGATAAGACATTACCTCCAACTTAGCTTCTTTCTGTCTAATGCAGGTTTTGGCCTTTAACCTAGTGGATAATGAATTAAGATGCAATGTTTTAAAATACTCTATGGTTGAAATAGAGATAAGGATGAAGAGACTTACAGTTAGAAAGCAATCTGGTAATCTGAACCCAATTTCTGAAGTTGATACTCATTCTGAGCTTAAATGTACTTTGTTTGAGAATTTTAAAAATTTTTAGTGGGTATACAGAAATTATAAGATAAACTTGTAACCTATTCCAGTTATCTTGCCTCAAAAAAACCAGTAAGCAACAGTTTTAAGATGGTGAGCATTACTTGTATTCCAATGCTCACTGCAATTCTACCTGAGGAATGATCTGCTCACCATAAAAGCCTTTAAAACCATGACTGAAGCATTTAAGATCTGAAATGCTAAATGAGGTGCATAAAGGTACCAGACAGAAGAATTCCACAATACAAGCTCAGTTTTCTTCTATTTGTCTGCCAAAACCCAAACACCCAGAACACAGCTGCAGTTTACTTTGGGACAGCTGTAAAACATCCCACCTGACCTCCAATATTATTTGGAGGAGACACTTCCCACAAAATACCTTTACAGGCACAGTACCTACACTAGGTGAGCTATAAATTATTTAAATTTATTGACTTGTAAACCCATGTTAATTAAGCAGCTTATCGCAACATCACTAAAATTGATTTTCTCTGTTTCTCTAAAAAAATGTTATCGCAGCGATAGCAAGTATGTCTCCTACAAAACCTTGTTAAGTCATCAGTTCTAATAAAATCTAACCTTTCAAAGGTTTCTTATAAAAAAAAAACTAAACAAACCCCTCAAAATTGCTTATGCCTGTATCTTCTTTGTTGATGCTGCATTAAAGGCAAATTTTATCTGCTGAAGTATGGTGCTTCCTTTGTTATACTTAAATAATGTTATTAATCATAAATTAAATTATTCACCACCTCAGCGAGTCTTAATGGTTGTCTACAGGGTACAAAATACTTGACATAAAAAACAGCTTTACCACTTAACTTTTATGAAAACTGTATACTATATCAACTGGACCTATTTTCCTAAATCCAAGAAAGCAGTGCTAAACCCAGACCTTTTAAAGAATTTTAGCACATAGTTTCAGCACACCATGAGCACCTTCTTACACTAACGTTCTAGCAGCTAATCAAAATCTTGAAATGTAGCATAAACAATCATTTATAACTACTTTAATTATTATATCTTAATTTGCAACAATAGATGGGAAAAATAGCTACCAAAAAAAGGATTGTTTTAAAATAACATTTCTACGACAGCACTGTAACAACAGTAAGAAATTACCAGGGTAAATCGAATGAGAACACATCTTTTGAGTCAGGGACTTTAAATACTCTGAAGTGTTTAATCATGAGTAGCATCATCAGTAAAAGATGATGCAACACCAAATATTTAGCTTAGCTTCACTGCTTTAATGATTTCTATGCAAGAACCTAAACATGCTGGAAACAGCACTTTGTCAAAAAACAGTCGCTCTTCAAAGAGCAGAACAATTTGGACATAAATAGACCAGATATTGTATATCCAAGGGCAAAACCTCGGATTCCCAGTGTATATCCTCAACCTTCATTCTGTTCAGAGGTTTTAGAAAGCAGTTCCTTCTAATTTGTAGTTGGCAGAAGTTGCATGAATGGACACTAAACCATTCATGTTCATCACCTTGTGATGTTCCCAACACTTCTATGATACAAGAAAGCTTAAATCCCATAGTTCTCAAACATCAACAAAGGCAATGTACTTTATTACATCTGTGAAGCTACAGTGCTCTCAGAAGGAACATTATAAAAATAAAGCAAAGATTTTGACCATCTCCAGTAAGTATAACTTGTTGGTCCAAAAATTTTGAGCAATTCTGAAACCACTCTAGAACTCTCCAAAGATTCTTTATTCTATATAAAAATAAACTTCTAGTTAAGAACTATGAAAAAAGGCCCTTTAATTGCCAATCCCTTAAAAAAAATGTCAAAATGTAGCAGCTGAGCACAAAATTTCAGCTTGATTGAGATACTCAGTTGAATGGATTAGCCATAAAACTAGAGACTCAGAATAAAAGGTAAGTAAGAACATTAATTTAGACACCTTGAAGTCTAAATTCAGATCGATCTGAAACTATTTGACAGATGAGGAGTCACCCAGGACTAATGAAAGACATCTGGAGTCAGTGACAAAAACTAGACTCTAAAATGCAGTTCAAGTACAGACAGGAGTATTCTCATTTCTGAAATTCAGTCTTATTGCTTGCCCTGTTATTTACAGAATAAAATTGTATATATTTGCACACACACACAGAGCTCAAACCATGAGCAACTGTCTTCCCATCAATCTCTCATGCTTTCTTACAACCAAAAGTTTGTTGGATAAGCAGCATAAACTCAATTGGAATCTTCTGCCAAACATTCCTTTTTTATCCACCCCTAACCAAAAGTAACCTTTTCTGGGAAGACAGTAGCTTGAAGAATTTCTAGACAACAACTTTGTTATTTAAGTGGCTCAAGGTACCTTCCAGTCACTCAACTGAACCACAGCCAGCATTATAAATACATGGAAAGGTCATTGGGTTTGGGTTTTTTGGGTGTTGTTTTTTTTTTTTTTAATCAATCCCATCTTTTAACAGGAATTCCCTATTTTGAAAGATGCAACTTTAAGTAGAGTTTATGATTCACGAAGCACAATTGTCCCCCAAGTATCTGATTGTATGAGCATTTCCTGGAAAGGTGCACCTGAATGCATAGTTAGAAGAAAAGCTGCTTCTATGTCAAGGTGTTTTACACTGTTAACAACTGAAGAAGAAAGGAAAGATGGTGATGTTAATGTTACTTGATTCTGTCTCCAGTTTCTCACCTGTAAAATGGGGTTAGTGATGAAGACAGTACACAGTAACCTATTAGTATCATGAGCAGTGAAGTGGCACTGCTCACAAAGCTCACAGTTGCATTTAACACAATAACAGAAACAAACATTTACTTTGTGGAAAAGCTTCCAAAAACACCAGTTAAGGCATAACTGGCTAATTAAGCAGTGACACTCAACACGCTAAAAATAACAGGAGAGAGACAGGTTAAGGTACAAATGAAGTCTTAATTCTTTGACCCTAAGCTAAACTGGTTATACCACACATATTCATGCTCTGTCCCTGCAGATGTGGTCCAATATGTTGCATAATTTATGTAAGTCGTTGGGACCATAAGAGAGGTTTAACACTCAGTCAGGCAGGTTCTACTTGCATGTTTTAGAAGTGCTTTTACATTATGAGTTTTCCATGTGAGTAACTTTTCTGAGATCCTCTCCCAAATGGAAACAGGATGCCACAATGCCAATCCATTCTACAGGAACTACTTGCACAGAGCTGTCAAACCTGTATGTAGCTTGCAAGTGTTTTAAATGCCAGTCTGAAACTTAAATTTCTGTAGCAAAGCTGCAAAAGAACCACAGGATAATATTCCAAATGAGCATTCAAAAGACGTACAATTCACGTAACTCCAAATCCAAGTGTCTACCTAGAGTCATTTCTGGGAAACTCTGAGAGAATTTTTCTGAAAGCCACAAAAATCTGCAATCACATTCCATTTTTGTTGTTGCTGGAAATCTGAATGAAAGTGAGACATCACAGATTCAACTTCCTCTGAAATGCAACAGCATGTTCACAATGAAAACACAAACCCACTATGCTTTTTTGAATGCTGCTGTGTCAAAACAGAAACAAGTCCTGCAAGAAAAACCTGTGGTAGGTAAGTGATGCTTGAAGCTGAACAGCAGCATTCAAGATGGAACATAGCTTCTGTCAGAAGGAAAAAAAGTAGCAAAAGGAATGAGGCTTCACAGTTACTGAGTAAACGTGCAGATGCTCAACCACAAAATATGCATAAGAGACAATGGATGACACGATCCCTGCCATTATTAGCAATACCACAGTGGCTGCAGGAGCTCACTATCACCAAAACTGTGACTGTCTGAATACTAAAAGTGAAGAGGACAAAAATACTGGTAACAATGAATTAATCTCAGAAAACTTGATTACGTAGAAAATGCTGCAAATCAAGAACAGCTTGCATTCACCAAAAATGTCTCATAACTAGGAGGTTATAATGGTGCCTGCTCTAAGAGCAAGAGTAGCTTTATCTCTTAGGTTGCTTGGAAGCTAGTAAATGAGAGATCCAACCAAGACATGTCCACTGTAAGCAGGAAGGTTGAGTTTGGAGGAACGTTAGATGTTCAGCATGGCAAAAGGAAAGCTCATCACATATCCAGACAACCTGTTGATGGATAAACTTGCCATAGATAATCTAGAATTGAAGATGAAGTCAGAAGCAGTGAAATCAAAAGCAGATGTCTCAGCAGCTTGAGTAGAGCATCCTTGAAGATGAGAGATGATACCAAAAGAACAAGGTGAGAATGAACTGGAACTGTAGCTGCTCCACCCTCAGAATCAAGGCTCAAAAAATGTATCTATTTCCATTACATGCTTTCTTCCTCCCACAGGAGCAAAGAGAAGCTACCAGAGAGCAAAGCAGCTAATAAATTCCTTTGGCCAAGATTCAGTTCATGTAGTTACATGCCACAGAAGTCATCCAAAGCACATTTCGCCACTGTACACCATAAAGTCACTGGCAGACAAAAATGCAACTTTCTTGAATATTAAATAGATCAGGACTTGTATGTTTTAGTGAACACCCAAAAAGAACGACAAATCCCTTTAGTTTTAGAAGCTGGCATCAAGTTCAGAACAAAATGGGTTTTGATGTCAACCCTACACACTTTTTACACACTACTTCATTTACATCACCATTTACACACTACTCCAGCTTGGGATGATACTGATAGACTGGAGCAGGGAAGAAACACTGCAAATGAGCAGCAGAGAAAACACTGCACCATGTAAGTGAAACTCCTGGTAAGCCTCTCTTCAAAGGAGTACAGCCCCCAGAAAGCTGCCAGTCAATGCTGCAAAGCAGAGAACATTATCACAGAAGGGCCTTTGCCAGACTACAATACTGGAAGAAAAGACCAGACCTGTTGTCTATAAGATGCAAGAAGAGAACACCACAGCTTCAATGCATGAAGGAAAACGAAAAGGTCTGGTCAGATCCTTGTTTGCTTACATACCAAAATAATCCCAAGCTGGACAGGGTTCAATTTTCTGGTCCACAATGATGTATCAGTGAGCCAAGGCAGTATAGGATACCTGCTCACTTTCAAATCCCCTGCAACAAAAATGTCTTCTGTCAGTTCATTTAAAAATATGTTAATGGTTGTGCAAAGCAGAGCTGAGCATTAGAAGAGTACTGGCATAGTTATCAAGCCTTATTCCCTCAGCACAAGGTGGGTCACCAAATAAACAAGGTGATTTTATGTAAAAATTTAAAGAGCAATTTCTGCTGGAACATCCCCAGCTAGATTATCTGTATTACTAATGGCAGGATCCTGGTCCAAAGAGAGCCTCAGTAACAGAGCTCATGGAACACGTCTGGTCATTAGCAATAAAGATGAGTTTTACAACACACACAGACCATCTGATATATAACGAAAGACACCAAAAGATACCATTTGAGAGTTGCAAGAGAAGATCCAAAAGCGTTCAAGACTGTAATTGTGAGTCATTGTTTCCGACGATGAAGTGATTCTGAAGAGCCCCATAAACAAGTCACACCTCACTGAATTATCGGTCAAAGAATGGGAAGAAACACAGATCACTGAGAATCTACACAGCAAAGGTTGTGAATACTGCCTGCAAGTTCCTCTTCTTCCACAGCAAACCACAGAGTACTGTTAAGAACCATCCCACAAAAAGATGAATGTTTTTGTATGTACTGTATGTACTCTGTACTGAAAATAACGAATTAAAAAATATGCCACACAGGTACACTCATGCTCTTGGGTTTAGCAATGGTAAACTCTTGTCCAAAGTACATGGAACAGGACAAGAGTCATGGAAATTACCCAATTCTACGAGCATGACAATTGCAAAAAGCACCATCACAGATTTTATATCACTTCATGCAGTACCAGTAACTAATCTTATGTCAAGATCAGAGTTCTCAAAAATAATGGCTATCTGCATCTGTCCTAATCTAACAGCTTGCAGAAACAAACCTGCACATATTCTTGACTTAATTTCAAATCTTTTCAGTGCTCACCCATCTGATACATACTGTATATCCAACATTCTTAAATATTTCCATATATCTCTGCAACACATTCAAGACAGAAAAATCCTTTTGCAGTCCTAACAGCCTGCCACAGCTGTACATCTTCGGCCACCATTCAACACATTTATAACCTTTCCTTACACCTATTTCAGCAAGTATTAATTCCCAACACCTAATGCCATCTCCAAGTAGAAGAGCTGAAGTTTTCAAAGGTATCATAGCTCTACACTTTATTTTTTCATTGTTGAGTTTCACTGAAAGCTAAACTATTAAAGGACTCCCTCTTAATAGCAACTTTATGGAAACTAAGAAAGAAAATACTAAACAGTGATGAAATAATCTATTTGGGATATTTCCAATACTCAGTGAAAGCTGATTTATACTTAGAGGTCTAAGAACTTCTTGCTCTGTTGGAAGAGTTCTCACCATGCATGAGCCTATCTAAATCCCTTTTAGAATCCTGCCATAAGCTACATGCACTCACTAAGGGTTAAACCATCTTCTACCATCTTTTAAAATGTCTTTCTTTGCAGCGTAATTGACATTTTTATTTCCGTGTTCTGAAACAGTTTGAAGAAAACATGAATGCTGGATTTAACTGGCACGACTGTGAGCTTTCAATTAAGGCATAAGCAGACACAAACTACATCGTAAAGCCTCGGAAACTCTTCCAGAATAATCAGGGATGACTTGGCACATCTGATTTCTCTAAGGTTTAAAAAACCCCCCCTGTAACATGATCTCCACAATACTGCAGGTTCTTTTTCAAATCCTTAAAAACCCCTGATTAATTAATACTAATTTTTCTTTGAAAGGTGGAATTAAAAACGTTAATACAAACCAGTATACTTTTGTCATATAAAGAACATAATTTTGAAAATAATTTCTAGATATTTATAAAATATTAAGACTGAATTAGTCCTCCTTCAGTAAATGACATTTCTTTTGGTATTCATATTAATATTACATAAAGAACACAAAACTCTCATTTAATAAAGCTAATATTAAAGTAAACTGAAGTAACAGTCTCACTGTGTCTAGACTCAGAGGTCAGGACTGAGAAGTCCCAACACTGCAAGAATTATTTATGTCTCTCCAAACTGAACAAAAACCTGGTTTTGATTTTGGCTACAACAAGTAATCATTTTATCTCTTCCTCCCTGTAATTGTGGACATGGTAAGAGCAAAAAACACTAGTCAAGTGTTCATCCATACATCTCAAATTCTATGAAATTCAAAAGAAATCCAAGTTCAGAGTGTAAATTTTGACCATCTATCTCTAAATTAATAGAAAAAAAAACATTAAGCAGTAAAATAAAACTTACTCAGATACTTGTGCAGCAGTTGGGATATCTACAGAAACTGAAAATAAAAACAAAAGATTTAATTAAAATTATTTAAAAATGTGAAAATACAGAAGTACTCACTGTCAAATCCAAGTACACAGAAATAATCAACTAACAACAGGACTGCAATAACAGAGACATCCACATGAAGTATTGATATAGTATGTGAAAAAGAGACTCTATGTACTCACCTTTCTCTATAATAACTTGACAAGTATGAGTGTGGCTCTCACTCAGATGTGTGGCCATGCTATCTAAGCCAGAAACATCAGCCAGGAATTCACAGTTAAGACACACTACAGTCAAGCCTCTAGAAAAGAAAAAACAAAAAGGAAGTATAAATACAACAGTTTTCTTAACTTACAGCAACTGGACAGACCATAAAAAGAAATTCATTCAACTTCAGATGAGATTATTCACATAAAAACATATTCTTACTTTTTCTACTGCAACTAGTATCAGGAAATCCCCATCAATGACCAGGGCATCTCCATGCTGGATGTAGTACAAAGAACATGACTTTAGACAGAAATTTATCTGTAAAGCATGAGTTTCTCTGTTTTGATGGGTTTTGTTTACATGGTTGTTTTTTTCTTTCCCTCACCCCCTCCCCATTTTGCACCTTATGAATAATGGAAAACTAAAGAAATAGAAATATTATTAAAAACTGCTCAGAGTTAAGATAAAAAAATAATAAATGTTGACAAATAACATATATTTGTCACTGACCAGAACACTGCTATTGGAAGTTTCATTTCTCTGATCTTTCTAAATTGTGGAGACGTAGAAATTCAAGAGCCTATAATCTCAATTATCAATGAACATCAGAAAGTAAAAACATAATGATCTGTAACTGAAAAAAGCTGCATTACCGTAGCTCTTCTGATTGCTTCTTATAGATCCAAAATCTTTTACGTGGACGAGCACTGTGAAAACTAAATATATGACAACATTACCACTTAAACTGGTTTGCTTGAGTACATTACTCCTCATATCCCCTACACTATCCATGGTCCTGCAATTTGCTTATGACAAGGCATGAAAATAGAAGGCTGAATTACTGCCCTGCATTATTCCTAAACGTTCAGTTGCTTAAAGCTTACAGGCTTGTGAATCTCAGCTCTAGTTTAAAACAATGTCTTTCGAGTAAGTAACGAGTTTGGGAGAGGAAAGGCTTAATTTCATTGGCACAGTCCTGCAAGAATAGTTACATTGCTTCCATCAGCAGTTTAGGGCTTGAAGAGCCATAGCTGCAGGCCCAGAGTGCACCACAAAAAAGTGAAGCTTTGCCAAACTTGTGCTTCCAAAAGAGACAGCTCTACATGAGAAATGCAATTTTTAGACAACTTGTAAGTTGTCCCTTATGCAGGTCAGACATGTGTCAACACTGTTCTCCCCCATGAAAACACATTCAGGCAGCTGAGTACAGGGGCTGCTATTGCAGAAACACCCTCCAACAGTCTCCCTCCTCACCATTCCTTTTTCCTCACACTCACCAAAGAGGTGAGGAGAGGTGCTGCAGAGGATCCAAGTAGGAGAAGCATTAGTGCATCAAGGGCACGAGGGACAAAAGACTGGCTACCTTTAATGCATTGTTGAATTTGACCAAACAGCCAGGAGAGCGGTCACAACAGGAACAGTTTGCCTTAGATTTCTCTTTCCCCTTCTGAAGTAAACTTTTTCTTGTACAACTGGCGTTAAGCACAATAATTTCTGTTATCTTTTTCAAGATTGCAAACAGTAGATAATATGCATAAAAGCATGTAAACTATTTCAGCCTAGGACTTACACGAGCATTGAAGTTAGTATGACTTAGGTCACAGACCCAAGAATTCTAGCACTCACAAATGCCAAGGCATTTTACACATACATGTCTTTAGAAAGACAGCTGCCTTTGGGATTTTTCCACAATACAGCTGGCTTGTTCAGGGCACAGGATTAACAAGTAGGTTTTCAAAACTTTATTTTACTGTCACTGCTATGTGATCTGTGTCTAATTATTACATAGTATAATTCCATGGTTCTAAAAACTAATGTATTTGTTTTCTTAACAGGCTTTTTTACAGCTGTCATCACTAATACCCTACGCTGCTGCACAACCGGTGACAAACCTCCTGCAAAATGAGATGTTATTTCTGTGGATGACCAGAAGTAACATAAGCAAAAAGTATCCACTTGAGTATGCTATTTGAGACATCTTTACATCTGAGCAGAGATTTCACTAGCAATAGCTGTGCTCTGTATGCATTCAGCACTAGTAAAATCAGATGAGGTTTCAATCTGAAACCTGGAGAACACGCAATAATTAGTCATTTTTCCTAACTCAGGCTGAAGTGATTATGGAAGATCCCACAGAAACTCTGAAGCAAAGACAAAACACTGTCTGAACCACTGGATTTTTAAGGCAAAACAAGAACATGGGGTTTAGGTCTTCACTGCAAAGTAAAAAATCCAACCTTACACAGATCCCTGCCATTCTGATGACCCGGTTCAAAATTCAGCTAACAAACACTTAGCCCACCTTACATGAATTTAGGAAGTATTTGCTAAGCCAGTAAAACCTTTGAAGAGTTCTTACTTCACCATGTGATTCACATAGGCTTTGCTACAGCTGGTGCTGTATCTGCACAAACTACAGTGGACGTAGGCAGGAAAATGGCTGGCGAAATCCTTGATTTCTGAGTAACACTCAATGCACTTGTGATGTCCCGAATGACACCTGACAGGGATATGGAAGAGTTAACAGTGAAGAGCAACACTTTAGGATGAGAAACTATTTCAAGCTTTTTGCTTCAAGCTTGCCTACATGAGGGGAAAATGAGGAACTCAAAAATGTATCAGCTAAATACTCAGAGGTTACACTTGCACACCAAACTTAGCGAAGAAAAAGCTTTTGGTTTTTCTGTCACTCCAATATTCCCCACAAGCTTTGAAAGATCTACAAAGCAAGAATGTAATCCCACTCTTCCCCAATTTCACTGGCTGATTTTGGATGTCTCCTACAGCTACAAACTGTGAAAGTCAGCAACATCTCTGACAAAGAAAACTGCTAACTTACCTTAGCCAATAAAATTATATTCTGGTCATTAAACACTCATATAATTATTAACATAAGGACAGCAACCCCCTGAAACTTGCAAAGACAAAAACAAGCTACTAGGAGAATGGTGCCTTACTTTCTTGATTATTTGTTGTTAGCTCCCCAAAATAAGTTATCTCCTAGGACAGACAGGATTTAATCTTTTAACTAACAAAAAAAATAAAAAGGAACAAGAAAAAATATTTTTCCCTCCATAAGAAAACTTCCAGAGAACACTCAGGTAGATGTATTCCCCTCCACAGGTCAGTTTTAAACATAAATCTGCCTAATGAGTCAGTATTTCAAAGGTCTGTGGCTCTGTGCAGAGAAAAATTCTAAATGTAGCATAGAGAAGTTTCCAGAACATCTGTTCTTCATAACAAAGTGGTTTGCCACCACTAAAATTGGTGAATGAAGATATTGAATTCTAATCACAGTACCAGTATGAGGAAAGTTTATGCACCTGCTTTTTCTGCAAACCTGAGGGGTCATATCTTCTGTATTACAGTATTGGAAGTTATCAAAGGACAATTAAATGATCATTTATATTCAAAGTATACTTAAAGACAGATTTAATGCTAATATTTTACCTTAGATGATGAAATGTTATATTTGTAACTTCCTTTTTTTTTTTGCTGTTGGTCCATGCATTTTGTTTCTTTGATGGAGTTTGTTTTGATTTTCCTCTTGATTTATTTGTATTAGATTTGTTATGATTTTTAGTGGTTGTGGTTTTAGATTTAGGTGATAACTGAAAGGTGGAACTGCTTGTACTAATAGAAGATGAAGCTGATGATCCTGACTGATGAGATCCTAGAGATGCTCGAATAGTCACCTGCAAGTATGAAATAAAATTTAGATTTAAGTTCCCATTTCTATTTGTCTCAAAGCTTAATACACTTAAGAACAGAAATCATAGCATAAGAAACTCTGCTGAGTAAAGATTACTTTGAAAAACACAAAACACTGAAAATACTTTTGGACTACAGGTAACCTCCATAGCCTCCTGGATGCTTAAAAAGCTCGTTTTGGTGGAAATAGCCATGACAAAACCACACTTTTCAGACCTGCAACTGGCTACATCCTACTTTCTTAAAACAAAAAAAATGTAGCAGAAGGGTCAGGCCAATGAGCCCTCTAAGAAGAATACCAAGCAATCCCATCAGTGCCTGGATTTAACAAAAGTCTTGTGTCTTGTTGCCTCAGGATTAGCCACTCTACTTCCTTCAGGTATTTTTGCTCCTCATCCTAGAACCCCCAGGACTAATTCTGGTTTCTGACCTCTCTTCTGGCATTATCAAACTCCTTTGTCTTGCCCTTAAATTTGGTTCCTGAGTTTTCACTCACAGTCATACTTCTTACCCACACTCATGGTTCAGAAGCATCTCATCTTCTAAACCTGTTCCCAGGCTCTTCAGTCTCATCATGTGCATCCTGACAAGGTTAACTAACACCAAAATTTTAACATAACCTAAGCTTTTGCTAGATCATGAAGACTCTGAAATCTTTAGAAAATTGAGGGTTTGTCACAGAGTACAGAATCAGTGCTTTACATTCATTCTGCCAAGCAACACAATCAACATCAACTGCAGTCATTTTCCCCCTTCCTGACTCTACAGCAAATGAACTATGAAGAGCTGATCAAAATGTAAATTTTCTTCTTCCTTGCAACTGAAAGGACATATATTTCAACATCTCATTAAAACACTGCAGGAAGAACTCTCACAAACTACAAGAAAATCCTAGTCTAAGTAGTTTCTTCTTAAGAAATCAAAGGATGATTTAAAGATGGCCTAAGTTTACTGAGGGACCCAAGTTTTCCCCCAACCCCTTCAAATGCTGAAGCTAAGAAGACCTGGTGAACTCAGCTTTAAGCATATATTGTCTGTGGAAAAGTAGGTCTTGCATTTTTTGCCAACACCTTTCCATAGGTCAAAACTCTTTCACTAGAAATGATGCAGAAGCATCCCTAGCACAAGAAAGGATAAATGCCAAGCAACAGCTCAAGAAAGTTGCAGCATTAACTGGACTTCTGCCATACACATGTATGGAACAATGGGACAAAAAGCAACACCAGGAATCACCAAGAAGAAACCATAAATTCTGCCTGGTAATTCTTGCAACAGGAGTATTTTTTAGAGTTTTAGTTTTGGAGGTGAGGAAAAAAAAAAAAACAAGCAAAAAACAATCCCAAACACTGGGCTTTAGAAAAGAAAGGAGAAAAACACTTCTTTCTATTCCAGCCTTTCCTCTTTTTTCTTCTTTGTCCCCTCACATTTTCCTGTGTGAACACTTACCTTTGTCCCAGGGGGCAAGCCTTCTAACTGTTTGGGTTTCCTGAATGTTCGGTGATGCTGAGTCTTGTGATCCATTTTTTCCTTGCAGGTTAGAAACTGCAGTCTGCATTTAGTGCAGCGGTACACACCCTTTTTCTGGGAGAAATAACACAAGCTACAGTAAGCACGGATGGCATGATAAACAAAACTTGAGCACTAGCTTGTCTCAAGCAATGCTCATCCTGCTTTTACAACTTCAACTGAACAAACTTCTAATACTGTACAAAGACAAAATACTGTGTTGGAATTAGAGAGAATATTTAAATGCTTGAAAATGCAAGGCAGCATGATTAGTAAGAGGAGGAGAAATCAGATTCCAGTTACAAGAAGACATAGTATTTCATTATCTTTTTCTTTATTTGTACTAGTGAAAGGTTTGCTAGTAACCTCAGGAACAGCAGAACACATCACTACAATGTAATGAAGAACCCAAATAGCAAAAAGATTCTTTTAAGGATATTCAGAGATTTTTTTTTAAACAGGGAGATGCTGCCACACAAGAACATGACAAAGTCCAACAAATTCCCTTCAAGACTTTTCAAATTCTTCTAACATATTTTATTAACTATTCTTATCCAGTAACAACCATACAAATCAGTTGAGGTTCATTTTTCAGAGGGAGATTCCTTACATATATTTAGCATTTTTTCTAGCACTAAGGATTGAAATCATCTGCTTACCTGATGCCTCATGTAATGATGCATATATGGTGCTCCAATTTTAATTACTTTGAGGCAAAATGGGCATAGCAAATGTTTTGTGTTTTCATGAACTGTTCTAAAATGAGATTCTACATCTGAAAAAGCTGAGGATCTGTAGCTGCACACCTGAAATAAAAAAGGTCGACTATTTTTGTTAAAAGTTTATTGACAGGGGAGACAGGGGAGTGGTGTAATCTAAATAGGAAACAGTCACTTAGATACCTGGCAAACATATGGCATTTCACCTGGCTTGTGATTATCCTTCATATGTTGCAAAAGAACTTGCTCTGTTTCAAAGGATAGTTCACAGATTTTACAAATGGCTAGAAAAAGTGAAAAACAAGATAAAAAGTCAAAATTTGATTGGGGTCATAAATAGATAAGTCATGACACATACGTATATGTGAACTGTATATATTTCTAAAGATAAAGCAATCTAATATTATTTGACTCTTTAGAAGAAATTCCCTGTACAGTTTCAGAGAGCCAGGAAGGCAAGGGTCACAAACAACATGAGTTCTTGCAGTAAAGCTTTCAATTAAAAAAAAAATTAAAATAAAACAAAGAAAGAAAAAACAAGGAAAAAATGCAAAAAGGTTTTAAAAATACATTTTTTTGCACACGCACTTGCCTAAAAAAATAAAAAAATTGAAGGAAAGCTCAGTTTCTATATGAAATCTCAAGCTTATTGTTCTTTAAGTACAATAGCTTTATTCTGAACTTACAAACCAGCAAAGTAAAAGTCAGAAAATCCCTAAAAATTGTGGCTTAGGAAAAGCTCAGCGGGCTCCGCTCCAACTTACTGGATGACTCGTAAAGCGTGTGTGTGCTCTCGATGTGGCACTGCAGCTGGAACGGGGTGGGGAACTGCCGGTAGCAGTGCTGGCACGTGGTGTGGCTTTCCCAACTTTCATTGCTCTGCTTCTCGAGCTCCAAGTGATGCTTCATGTGGTTCATAAACCTTTAAATTATAGTGAACAGGTGCAAAACCCAACATTTTAACATTTGCTATACGTGACATATCACAAGCAAGATGTACAGGATTCTTTAGAAACCTTACTCTGTAAGGACAAAGCTGACTAGAAATCTTGACTTTAAAGAACATACAATATATGTGAAACACATTTTAAGACAAAGCAATCTATTACCTTTTTCATGTTTACTTAGATAATATTTTTGCTTTGAAATAAATTAAGGAAAGACACCAAGAACACAGCATGTTGACAATTCATTCACCATCACCAGTCTCAAAGCCACATTCTGAAACAAGTATAACTGCACCTATGCTAAAAACTATTAAGTAGCAAGAATATATCTGCAACTTAGACATGACAGCTTTATGTAAAACCACACCCATTCAAACCTGGCAGGGTTCCAGGAGCCTTCTTTGTCTAAAGCATTTAGGACTGAACTTGAATTGTGAAGGACAGTTATCAAAGAATGCCATTGTGCAGCTGATGTCAAAAGAGGATGAGAAACTAGTATGTTACTGCTTCAAATTAGCACCTTTTCCTCATTAATTTGTCCACCTGTCTGGAGTAGGAACCTATCCTGGCTGAGAAGTCCAGGCACCCATGACAGCACAGCAGGTCACCAGTACTGGTGGAGCAGCACAAGGACAGGTTTGCTGCACAAGCCACTACTGTTAAACCTCCAAAACTCTTCTATTGTCTATGTGTTTCATTTCAGTGCAGCCAGAGGAACCTTTAAATGTAGGTCACAGTCACAAAAGGAATGTAGACCTTGGAACTGGACAAAACAAATGAGAAGGAGAATAGTCTCTTGAGCTCAAGCTTCTAATATTAAGCAGCTGATTAAAAAAAAGAAACAAGGAAAAAAAAAGCCAGTTGAAGCTATGCAGGTACCTAACCAGACAAAAGGAACTGGCACTGTTACTGCTTATTACCTTAACAGAAAAGTATTGCAGTGGTATGTTCAACCACTTAAAGGAAGCAGGGGACTACCATGAGGAACCACTTTTAGTTTTCTGAATTAAGGTCCAAAAAACTCATACTTGAAGTGGAAAGGTACTACGTATTTATTTTGTCCATCAGAAATAGTTAAAGGTGCAAAATATACCTTGGAATAAAAATTCTGAAGTTACAGAAGTATGGAGTACAGCTACAAAGTTGCAGCAAAAATTAATATGGTAAAATCAACTCTAGAGAAATAAAAAAGTGCTCACACGTTTTTAATGACTTGCTGTGGAACCCACAGGCTCCATAGCACCAACAGCTTACAATATAATGCTGAGTAGAAAATACTTAATGATTAATAGCAGATTTCATTGTTTTAATTACACAAAACTTCTGTTTTGTTCAATAATATGGGTCTAATGTTAGCATAAACCTGTTCATTTTAACTTGCAGACTGTGCCCTTTGAAGCAATAGTCCATTTTTCAGTTTTACATTCTGCTACTTCAGCTTCCTTTGAAGAATGCACCTAAAAAAAGTTCAGTGACCTTAACTTCCAAAGGAACGATGACACAAACTTGTCTACCTGCTAAAACAGCTTACTGAAGTTTTTTTTCAGCATTTGGAAGTAAAATTATTCCATCAAAATAACAGATGTTACATAAGTAAACCACAGACTATTAGTCACTGTGCATCCCTAGAGGGAATTAACACTCGCATCCACCAGTATCACCATCAATCCAGATGGCAAATTGTAAAATACTTTGTGTTGCCCCTTCTAACCCCAAAGTCCTACAACTGCTCTCATTAAATCTCTATGTTTATGTTAGGCACCACTAAAATTTGTACTCTAATCTGTAAAATGTTCCAAGTTATGGCCACACATGCAAAGTAAAAATTAATTCAGTTTCTGTTCAGTCATTCAATATTATCAGTCTTCAGGAAGAAGAGAACTCTATTCCAGAGGCACAAATTTTTAATACATGAAACTGCTATGGGCTGTGATTAAAAAACAATTAAGGAAGTGAGTTCAAATACCTTATGTTATTTTTAAGAACTTTGAGACAACTGATGCACTTAAATGTCGTATGAGTCTTCTGCTCCTGTTGCACCTGCTGGGTGTCACCTTCATCCTTCCCATAATAAAAGTCATTAACTAACATAATCAATTTTCCTTTCTCAGATTCAGCAATCTTACTTGTTGTGCTCAAACATTCTGTTTTGATCGTTGCTGGGAAAAAGTTATTTACCAAATCTGGACAACAATACTGGAGGCAAACAGGGAGGAGAAGAGACAGAAAGAGACAAAGGTGTCAGTCTCTCTTACCAAACTGCATCAATGACAACAGCATTTCAACAACTGAAGGCACTCACTACACTTAGATGCAAAGCTCAGTTCTCTGATACACAGCCTTAGTCATATTTTCATATGATTTTAAACAATAATTGATCTTCATGTAATGTTCAAGTAATAAACCACTACATATTATAAAAACTGGAAAAGGATGATTCTCATAGGTTCATGTAAGACAAAGTAAATAAAAAAAATCAGAATATCAGTGTTGCCTCGCTCATGAGAAAAATTTCTACTTCATTACCAAGGAAGAGAAAAGCAGTTTTTATGCAAGTATTTTGCTGACAAGCATAAGTTTATTGAGAACTTAATGTAAAGTTCTATCTTTTATTTCTTAGGGGAGAACATATGTTGAAACCTGCCAAAGTTCTTTCCAGCATTACTAAAAAATTCAGAAACTCTCAGTCACACAGTACACATTGTTCAAGCTTCTTTCTGTCCAAGTATACAAAAGGAATGCTTGGTCAAATAGAGATACTACGAAACTTAAGACTTAAAATGTATGAAGTACTTCATAAAGAAGGTACTATGAAGTTATAACAGTGCACAAAATTAGAATATTTCAGAGGACAGAATTTCTCCTGCTGAATAATGGTTTTTATTGTGCAGGACTACTTTCTATAAGCCTACTAGTAATGAGTTAATTTCCTATCATGGAAATGTAACTCAGTATATTTATCCCATACAGTTCAACTAAAAATTTAACTAAATAATACTAAGTAAACACACTTCTTCAATGGTTCTTTCACTCCATTGATGTACTCAGTCCAAAAGCTATTCTGAACAAATAATGATTACAAAAAGATAAAACCCTTGGATTTTTTTCCACTTATCTACATTTCTTAATTGTGTTTCAGAGCTGAAAAGCAACTACCATTCAGGGTATGGTGACCCTGTAAATCAGAACCATCTGTGGTAACAGTAATTCAGATCCTCACAGATTTCTATTACACAGTAGTTCATACTCTGTATAGACTGCAAAGCCATTATCTGCCCCCTGAAATGGAATACATATGCCTGAGAATTGCACAGATCTTTGCCAAATGATATTAAATATTTTTCAGGAAACAATGTTTCCAGAAACAATAACAAGTAGTTTAATAATCAGACAAGTGATGCTCAGTTTCTACAAGTTTTGTTTCTCACAGTGTTTAAGTATGAACTACAAATTAAATTCTTCCCCTCATCTTAACTTTTTTTAATCTGTCAAGTATCAAGTATTTTTATCTTGATGTTTCAAGTGACACACCAAGATAAAAAGGTGAGTTTACACTGTCATCTTTGTGTCAGTAGTGATCTAACACAGATGTGGGTCATCTGGCTGTCTATTATCATAGACACTTACCTTCATCACATTGGAAAAACGAGGCAAAAAGGAGCAGGATTTAGAGTTCCCCTGCTCCAGTCTTCCTCTCCATGACTGCAAGACACTGAGCATTTGGCTCTGGTTGATCCCAGACAGAAGCCAAAACAATCTTCATATCAAAACATGGCATGCTTGCATAACCAAACAGAAGCCCACATGAGCTTGTTCTAATGTCTCCCAGCCCCAGAATATTTTACCTTCATATGATTTTTTAGAGGATCCATAAGATTGAAATGAATATTACACTTTGGACAAGCTCGTGGAAAAGGTCCTCCATTTTTAATGGTGCTCGATGCAGCATTTGTCCCTGTAAAATTTAAAACGTGAAGATTCAGAATTCAAACAGAATACTCGATTTATCATTATTATTCTTCTAACCAAACATTCTATTTCAAATGAAAACTATTCCATCAGCGTAGCTGTAGTAACCACAAGGAAGGTTTTACAACCATCTTTTAACTACTCTTCCTTTTCCCCCATCTTGGAGTTTGTTCTGTTTGATATACACCAATAAACAACTTTCACAACATCTTAGCAACAAACTAAGAAAAAACATATGAGGAGGTGAAGGTAACATGACAGAGACAAAGCAGTCACTCTGTGCACCAGCATCCCACCACACCCTGCATAGGATGGATTTCTGATGGGTTTAAGAACTTTAATTTTCAAATGAACATGCAAAGCTCTATATATAGATATAGATATATATATATATAGATATATAGAGATATATATATAGATATATATATATATATAGGTCATATGCTATGACCTGATCATCATCACAATAGGGTTCAGATAACTGATTTTGGAAAGGAATTTCAGCTTTGGTTCTCAATCATGAGACTAGTTCTCTCTGGAGAGTTGTTGGAATCTAAGCCTATTCAAATGTATTGTTCATGTTGAGTAAAGGTGTCTTTGGAGAACCTAGACAATAAATCCTCTAAATTAATAATTACTCCCCGTAATGAAAGGAAATGGTGCTTCTCTTATCAACATAAATGATTAATACCTTTTGAGCAAAAGAGAGGCTGCAAAGCAAAAAACTTTGCATCAGCCTAAAACTTCAATGAATATGCTCAAGCTTCAAGTTTTCTCCAAACTGCCAAAAAACAACAGAACAAGAGCCACTTTTCAGATGAAGTTCTCGTGCATTCTCAAGTCATTCACAGATCTGGAGGACTCCAGACTGAGTAAGTAGTTTAAAAGTTAAACACAGGAAAAGTAACATCTCAACAGTAGAGTCCCTGTCAGGGCTCTGAAAAAATGTAACAAAAATAAACACACAAACACATCCAGCTTACAACAAGGGAATGAGCCCATGAGTTAAGAGACAACGATGCAACACTGTTATACATTTTTACAAAGAATTAGTCTTGCATAGTCCATAAGGTAGACAGTGTTTTTCCTTAAAACAACAGTATTGCTAAGAATCATTATGAAGCAGCAAGTCCTTCACATGAGTGGATGGCCATGCAAGAGATGAACCACAAAACAGTGCTGCAAGTCTTCACTATTGCAGTCTGGAAACATTTTGACACGTCACAGCTAAGGGCAAACTGAGTTGAAGCAAACGGGTTCTGCAGCAAAATCTCATCCTCTGCAGGGCTTCAGCACCGGGCTCTGTGGTAGACTAGAAATTGCTGTGCTAGTATGGGATGGCTTAGAGACAAACTCAGCAAAATGAGGTTCTCAGTGAGTAGGATCTACTTCTTTGTTAGTGCATTTAGCAAGATCCTTCAGTTATCTTTTCTGTATTACAGGCTGCAGCACAATATCTATTTCACCCAAAACAGGGTGGAGGAATTTTTTTGCTGTAATATTCAAGTTACAGCCACTTCCTTCTGGCTGCTGGAAAAGAGTCTGATAGCAAACCAGCTCCAAGTAAGACAGGCAAAAATCCCAAATCTGAAATGATTCCAAACAATCAGTATCACACTGTAAATAACTCCTCATTTTAACATTACAGGAGAGTATACATCTTGGAAATATCAAAAGTCAAGAATCCTTGCCTATAACAATCACTGGAAAGCATCTTTTGGCTCAGAAGAAAAATGCACCCAATTATTAAATACTCTAAAAGAGCTAGACTACCTCTCTTCTTGCAAGGAGGGAAAGATCTTTCCAGGAAAGATCTCTTTGAAATCTCCCTTCTCCCCTGCCATTACTATTTTAAACTGCTGCACACACTTTATAATAGTTAGTCACAGTACAGAACCACAGAGCAATTAATGTTGGACCTTGGGAGGTGGTTTTGTGCAACCTCTCACTCAAAGTAAATCAGACTTTATTAAGATGCTTAGAGCCATGTCCAGTCAACTTCTGAATATCTCCAAGGATGGAGATTCCACAATCTGAGTCCTTGCTGCCTTGCCTGGCATTGCTAAAGTGACTTTTCCCCCTTTCTTTTATCTGATCAGAATTAGTTGATAAATTCAGCAGTCAGAGAAATCTTGCCATCTTGATTTTCTGGTTGGTTGTGTTTTAAAGTTTCAGTGCCCAAGTAGACCTGAAAGACCACAGCTACATATTAAAAAGTCTGAAGTGCCAGCACAGGTCTTGTAAACCTCTCACAATCACAGACTGCAAACAGTGTTCAGACTATGAGAAACTATGACAAGGACTGGACTTGAGTTCTGGACACAATGATCTGAGCTAAGGACATTCTTGTATATTCCCCTTCCAATGGTACAGCTGCTTCAAGGACTTTTTGGGTGTAATAAGCAGCTGAATTAGTATCTTTAAAGTCTTCTCAACAAGCAGAGACATCTTGTGCCACATAAAATCGTTCAGACTTCTGAGCAGAAACAAAGCAGCCCTCTCCCACCCATAGTGTGTTTACTCAGTGGGAGCTATCTAAGCCCAGCAAACAGTCTGGAGAGTCTCCCCAGTCAATGCACAGAGGCAGATCCCTGCAGGGAATGCTGATGAGCATCTTGGAGAATTTGCCACACTGTGCCTCATACATGGGAAAACATAATTCACTTGTTTAATACATATTTAAACATCCTAACATCCTCCTTTGCAGCACACCTTTCCCTCTTTCTAACGTAAATAAACATATTAAGCTCAAATGCCTCACTCCATGCATCGTTTGCCCAGGGTTCATTCATTCACACATACACAAAATAAACAGGTTATTCATTAGATACTACAGCTGCTAGAGGGTTTTAATTCACTCACACTGTTAGGTATATGAGCTGCTTACATTGACATGTCTTGCTCAGCAAAGGCTTCCATAGAGCTGGTATGACTTTAGCATTCTTCTGTATCACTGAGGATATTTGAGCATCCAGCCACCAGCTTGATTTTACAACAATCTTCAGTAAAGTATTTTATTTGACTTTAGAAAACCCAACTTGGAAAAAAAGGACTATTTTTATACGTTAACAAAATTGTTAATAATTTCAATTTTAAAAGTTTGACACATCTGTGATAAAAATTTTGAAGACTTTTATATATTTATAAAGGTGAGTAGTCTTCATTCAGTTTGTACAACTCTTGTTAGTAAATTCCCTCTTTCTGAAAACTATAATAATATAGGAGAATATACATTGATTAACATTTTAATTTTGTTGTTTGTTCATGTAAAAAAACTGGGCCTATTTTGAAAACTAATCACACCAATTATTATTTAATATTTAGTTGGTATAAATCAGATTGACATCTCTTATCATAAAAGTTCCTCTCTCAGTTGGAGTGTGGACAAAAGAATTCCTTGAATCACCCACATTCCAGAGTAATTTGACCAATCCTCTATCCAGCAGGCCACTGGGACTCCGAGTGCTCAGGACAGCAGGGAAAAGCAGCAGCCAAACAATTCTTGTATGGTCACTTTATGCTATTAGTGGATACTTTTGTAGCTCTTATCAAACAGGTGGCTGTGCTCATACACACAATATTAGTGTGTACCATATCCAAAGTGATGGCAAGGACGACCAAAGTACACTGGATGTAGCATCACCTTGTTGAAGGTTCCTAAACACACATTAAAACACTACTGTGAAGTCCTTAATGCTGCTCTGTGCATCTGTGCTGGTTTGGCCTCATTTTATGAATGGTGGAAAAAGGCATTAGAACCAATAACCTATGACAAAAGCATTGAATGTACTGTGGAAACGGAACTGGGACAGCAAAGCCAAATTGCTTCAGGCCTCTGGTGCATTGTCTGCAGCAACATCTCCCAGTAATCTACTGCTGTGCATCCATGGATACAGTCCAGTCAACTCCACCCAGCAGTTCTTTTGGTTATGGCTTTTTCTGGTTCCTCCAAGGGGGTAAAGTCTGTGGGAGAACATTCTCAAAATATTCCCAGAAAGCCACATCTTACATACAACCCCAGTGCCACCTGACCTGCAGAGAGGAGTTACCAATGCTCTTACTCTACTCTCACCACCTATTTAACAGCCTTTCCCTGCTCAGATCTCAGAAATAATCATTTATGCTATATCAAGCTAAAAAATGTCTTTAATGATCCATGTGTGTTAAGTTAAATTGTCCTGCAAAGTATCACAGGCCAGTTCCCTAAAGGATTCTCCTTTTAAATACCACATTCCAGAATGTCTGGTGCCTGCAGTGCTGCACATGAATTAGGGAAGCACAGCACCAACACAGGCAAAGTAGGCTTTGGCACATATGAACATGAACACAAGCACCTTACATGACCTCCCCAAGCAAGCCAAACCACAAAATACACAGACACTTCCTTCTTGCAAAGTCAAATGGATCTTAAATTTTCCTTCTGTGTCATAAAAATGTTCAGGTTTCAATCCACAATTAAAAAACTTTAAAGTTTTAAGTCCTATTGCAATCTTACAGAAATAAACATACACCAAGTATGGCACGTTTAAGATGTTTTGAATTACAATCCTTGATGCTTTTAATTTTTTTCTCAATAAGAGACTACTACAAATAATTTTCAAGTATGCAAGCAAGTCCCCTAAGTTAAAAAAAAAAACCAAAAACCGCAAACAATTAAACTTTAATACCTGTTCTTCGGAGAACAAGGGCTGGAATACTGAACCATTTTCAAGAAATAAACCCTTTTCTTACTTAACGAGCTATTTAACCCAGTATGATAACAATGAGACTAAGAAAATAGCTGGACACAGGCAAGAAAATCCCTATCAGTGAAGGTCAGTAGTGTATCTGGAGTGAATGCCTAAACTAAAAATGCAAAATCTTCACATGAAGCAGAATAAACCAGCTCTCACTCTGTCCTACATAACTTGTCAGTGTGACGAGTCAGGCCATTCCCTGTATATGACCTGTTACCTCGTGGGAGAATCAGCAGGGATTGTCCTCCAGAACTTACAGACACAGTAATGGGACTCTGGGCACTTACTACAAAAGTACAATCCTTCAGAAAAGAGGGAAGTCCCAAGTTACAGCCTGTTTAAGACTGAATACACTGCATACTTCAAATTTCCTTCATCTGCTGTGACACACACACACAAAAAAAAGGCACTTTTTTGTTTGTTTTTAAGTAGGTTAATTCTTTACTGTTGAAACCCAATTTAGCTAGTTGAAAAAAAGTATTTTAGTTGTCAAATTACATACTCTTTTTCCTTTCTCTTCCTTTTCAGGGAGGATCCTTTTGATCCTACCTACTCCAAGTCCTGCATATAGCAGTCAGATCATCACCCCAGAGAATCCCCCCAGCAGATTCAGCTCTCCAGGTGCTGTTCACAGCCCCTCTCTTGTTTACAGTCACTCCTATTCCCACGAGCCCAAGAATGACGAAACAAACCTTTACCTGTCAATAAAATTACAGTGGATCTGGCAGTGCCTTTTCCCATTATAAGATGCATAAAACGAATTATAGGAGCATTGTAAGATGACATCTCTTGATATTACAGTCAGTCTAAAGCACTGAAAAGCAAAGTCTGACAACACAAGGCTCCAGAGATTATTTCATCAAACATTATACAAAGTTACCCACAGGGGGGAAGAAAAAAGTAGCTATACTATGTTCCAGAAATCCTATTTAAAGTTACAACCAAAAGACCTGCACTACAATGAAATGACATTAGGTTGTT